GCTGCTCATTGCTAAAAACGCTACATGATAACTTTGAGAGTAAAACACGCTCATTAAAAAACGCCGTTGGTGTAATCCAAAACCGTAACCTTCTCAACAATCGGTTCAATGAGCTTCTTGAATGACTTGTGAGCGGGATCTTGCTCGACATAGTAATTTCTGTCGTCCGTGCTTTCGAACTGGACGATAAAGCCATGCGTGTGGCCGTGCTGGGTGTATTCGTTAGTCTCGCTCTGCCAAAACCGATTAGACATGATGACAGACCTGCTGGTTCTCGTGGGAATGATCCTTCCCGCCAGTGATACTCCTGATGTAGGCGTGCTGCGAGTTGGGGGAGACACAGGATTCCTTGAGAGCGAGAAATCTGAGGTTGGCTTCATTGACGGAATCGGTATCGGTGTCTGGTTTGTACTGGAAAAGGACGATGTGTGTGACGGTCGTGGTGTGGCCGGGTGAGAGTTGGGCTACCGATGATGACGCGAACCCAATCGGGTCAAAAAACAGAAACACGGTGAGAATGCACACCACGGCAATGGTGATCCTGAGCACGTGGGGCTGCGCCCCCGATATGTTGACCATTTTTGATGAGTGAAGTGATTGAAGAAAATGGAAAATCGCGTTGTTCAATTGACGTCGCAGGCAATGGTGGTGATGATTACGATCGTGGAGTTTGGCCGTTGATGAGTCAAAACTGCAGGTTCAAAATTGTTGTTTTTGAAGCTCCTTCTCATCCGACCAGCCGTTCAGCTTGCAATTTCCGTTGAGCCACCTGCAGGCGCCAACGGGCGACGGCCACACGTGATTCGTCACCCCCGAACAACGCTCCAAATTTGGATCGCTTTTGTTTTTTTTTGGGCTTTTTCTCCTTTTGTGCTAGCGAAATCGGTGTTCCGCACACGCCATGAAACGACATTTGTCTTCGTGCTCCATTTTCAGCTCTCGAAGGTCCCCTTGTAAAATTGAGGAAATGGGAAAAAAGGGGTTTGTTCCACAGGGACGGGCTCGGGGGATTTTGCCCTCTGTTTCCGACATCCACCCCTGTTTGTCTGTGACAGGGAAGGTGCAGCCAACAAAAGCTTGACAATTCGGTACCTCTTACCGGTGCTGCCCGGCGGGCAATTGCACAGGCCCCAGGGGCGACTTCCTTGAGAAAGTATCACCACCGGCATCTTCAACGTCGTCACTTCCAACTGATCGTAAAATGATGAACAGGAGTTCCATTCAACTGGAAGATGGCCCCCGCTGCCCAGAACCGGCTCAATGTCTCCATTCTGCCATAGCATTTTGAACGGCAACGAGTGGGGTCTCAAAATGCCCAGCCTGCCGATAATCACTCTCTCGCTCCGATAAATCCGTCGAGAGAGAGAGAGCGACTTTCTGAACATTCTGATATATCCTGATTGCGATCTCAATTGATTTGCACTTTCCCATTACCATAACTTTTAACTTCAACTTTGACCAAAAATAATCACAATGGCGCCCCTCACGATCGACACCAAACTTAAGCTTAACAGCGGTTACGAGATCCCCCAGCTGGGATTCGGCGTATGCGAAATTGCCTCAATTTTTTCCCCCTGTTACTAATTATAGTGCAAGATGCTGATACATCGTTTTTTTTTCAACAGGTCTACCAGACTCCTCCTAGGGACACCCAGAGATGCGTGACTGAGGCCCTCAACGCCGGCTACCTTCACGTCGACTCTGCCGCCTACTACCGGAATGAAGCCGCCTGCGCCGAGGCCATCCGTTCCTTTGGCCGCGACAAGGTCTTTTTCACTTCCAAGATCATGCCCGGCAGCTTGAACTACGGCAGCGTCATTTCTCAGGTCGACAGGATGCTCCAGGAGACAAATCTTGGGTACCTCGATCTTGTTCTCATCCACGCTCCTTTCGGTGGTTCCGACAACCGCAAGGCCGCCTGGAAGGCTCTCGTTGAGTCTGTTGAGGCCGGCAAGATCCGCAGCATCGGTGTCAGCAACTACGGCGTGCACCACCTCGACGAGCTCGAGAAGCACATTGCCGAGCTGGAGGAGGAGCGCGGTGGCAAGGGCAAGGGTGGCGTCATCAGCGTCGGCCAGTGGGAGATTCATCCCTGGGTTGCCCGAAACGACATCGTGGAGTGGTGCGCCAAGCGCAACATTGCTGTTGAGGCTTACTGCCCTCTTGTGCAAGGACAACGGTGGGGAGAGCCCGAGCTCAAGAAGCTTGCTGAGAAGTACGGCAAGAGCGAGGCTCAGATTTTGATTCGCTGGAGCTTGCAGAAGGGGCTTGTTCCTCTGCCCAAGAGTGTTACCTCTGAGAGAATCAGGGCCAATGCTGACGTGTTTGACTTTGAGTTGACTCCTGAGGAGGTCAAGGAGCTCCAGACGGATGAGTACTCACCGATCAGCTGGGATCCCAATGTTGAGCCTTTGGAGAAGTAGGTTGGGCACATATACATGTACATGGCATCTTCAGAAGTTATCATAACGAATAGATAAATTCAAGACTATAACCATTTTCTTAGTAAAGAATGTATGTATTCAAATCTGGTTGTTTTTTCAGCCAGCCCTAGCAATCAACCCCTCAACCTCCTTTCCCAGCCCATCCTCCCACCCCAAAACCCCAGCACCACCAACCAGCAGCTCCCACAAATCATCCACGCTCGCCCCTTCCTCACTCAGCCCCTCCATGCCGCTGTCCAATCTCTGTCCCACAACCATCCCCCCGGCCACAAAAGCCATCGCAAGCTTCGCCCATCCAATCGCATCATAAGCAGTCAAACTCCCCGGAGGCTGTCTAAACTCAATCGCGCCGTTTCCTTGGCCTGGAATCATCCCCGTCAAATCCCACTTGTATACTTTTCCTCTTATGAAATCCTGGCTGTATCCGTGCGCTTTCCCGTAGGCAGAGTTGCAGGGAAAGAGATTCATGGCTTGGATTACCCCCCCGGCTTCTGGGCTGTTGTTTGTTGATGTTGATGCTGATGCTGATGCTGATGTGGCGGCATAGCCGATCACGGCTAGGCATTGGGAGAGGGCAAGGCCGGACAGGGAAGGGTTGGAGCGGTTGGATTGGCACCAGTATGTTCCGCTTTCGCGTCCGCGGGAGGGAGGGACGAGCGTGTCGAGGGCGGGTTCGAAGTAGAGGGATGTTTTAGCCAGGGAGGATAAAGATAGGTCGAGAGGGGAGGCAGAGGAGATGTGAATGTGGGTTGAACAGTTTGGAGACGGATGGATTGAGTAGGAGGAGTGAATCGTGGAGAAGATTGTTGAGAACTGTGAGGTGAAGGTCTGAGAGTGGGAAGAGGAAAAAACGGGGGAGACTAGTTCGATGCCGAAGAGACCTTTAGCTGATTGGTTGGGGATGGTGATTTCCTGGGTGATGGACCACTGTCTGTAGTTGTGGGGGGATTTGTCGTTGGAGTTGTTGATGTGGTTTGGGATGCCGGCTTTGAGCAGGCGCTTGCTTAGGTCTTTGGCGAGGGATTTCCAGGAGGAATGGTGGGAGGAGAATTTCTTGCGGGGGCCGAGGAGGAGCTCGATTTCGATGCCGAAGTTGAGGGTCGTCTGGGCCATTTTTGAGGGGCTGGGTTCTCCGTGGCAAGTAAAAAGGAAAGGTCTGTGTGGATTCTTGTGGAGCTGACATATTTGTGTTATGAGTCCGAGTCTCCATCGGGACTTTATAGTTACACCATACTAGTACAGAGACTGTATTTTTGCATTCTTCAGCGATCAAAGCCATCAAAGCCGTCACATATCTTTCATACACCTTGGGAAGTGATACCGACCAGTCATTGGCGCCCTCTCGTCCCCCAAACAAACATCATGGCGATAACTGACACCTCCACAATTCTCTGTGACCAGTCACCTACCTTACGCCGTCCCCTGAGCGTCTGTTTCTATATGGAAAACCGTGAACAGCGTGACGCCTGAGGAAACTGATAGATCTTTCCCTAGATCTTCACCCTTCTTTCTTCACCGCAGTTTTCGGTGGCAGGGATCATTGGCAGTCAGTTTCACCGTCCACGACACGCTAGGGGCAAACTTTAAAGCCTCAGCGTCTCGCCGGAGACCTCGGTGAGGCCACGGCCGTATTCGTATAGTATTCGTCTGGGAGACAATGAGCCGTCGTCCATCAGCTCGTTGCTGCTCAGTTTTCGGTGAGCATTGTGGTGTATTAGCGGCCGGCGAAGCGTCCGAGCACGGAAAAGGGGCTGAGCTTCACCTTCTAACCCCTGAAGGCGCTTATCGCCCTTCACCCTTGTCTCCAACTGCCGGTGTAGGTATGTAGCTATTTTAGATGTCAGTGTGGCAGCAGCTGTCATATTCGGTATGCCGGTCCGTGTACTCCCAACTAAAGATCTGCAGCCTTGCCAGGCGTTCAGATCCCGGAAGTAATTCGGCCGCATAATGGGCGGCAGGATGCAGGGTGCGGCCGCCGAAATGGGTGGTGTGGGGGAGGCCAATCATGGGAAGAAGATCAGGAAGGAATATGAACGGCGGTTGTGTTACCATACCTGGCAGAGCCTCAATCTCGAAACCAGAACGGACCGTTCTCCGAGCAAGCCCCTGTCTCTCCAACCCTGCAAGACGTTGGATTCTAAATCTCACACATGCAAGTGTGATGTTGTTTGTTCATCCGGGGCGGCTGATAGTATGAATTTTGATTGGTGAGATATCGGTAGTTTCTCTTGATGGCGTTCTTTTCTTACATCAAAAGACCGTTGGACCCGAAAGTGGAGATGGATCCGATGAGAATAAGCGCCGACGAAACACAAGGTTGAATGTTTGCCAGGATCGACAGAATTAAGGTTCTGATCACGAATCCGAAGGATGAAGCGCCAATATCACCGCTGCTATGGAGCCGGGTCGTGCGTCTGATACCGTGTCCAGTGTGTCGGGTGAGACATTGGTGATGAAGGAGCCGTGAACCCGGGTGCCCTCGAGGCAAGAAATCGGTAACCGCCCATGATTTGAATGATTACCTACAGCAAGGAATGAAAGAACCAAAAAAGAGATCTCTCCCGCCGGAATTCGAACCCAGGTCAAGGGCGCTGGTCACACTCAAGTTGAGAAGCCCCTATACTAACCAGTTTACGACGGAAGACTGTGGTAAGTTGGTATCTGTTGGGCGGTTTACTGGAGAAGTGAATGATAAAGGGAAGCCATGTGCTGGGAAGGCAGGAGTGTGCCATTGTTGATGACTCCCACTACCTAATTAGAGAAGGAAGGAGCAAACAGCGGCCTGCGTCACAGTCCTGTCCCATGTTTCCAGAGACCCAAGGGAGGATATTTTCTTCGCCTGAGTCTTGTTTGATGCTAGATGCATGGAAGAAACAAGTCCAAGTGTCAAAATCATATTTTTGTAATAGAATGTTTGTAATTTTATGTCGTTGCTCAATGACAAAACTCCTGGTTTCGAAAAGGTTAGGGTTATACATCACCACCCCTGATATGAGCTGCCGACATCCGCCGAGTTCCAGCGACTTCCGTGCTTCGGTACTTCGGTACTTCCCTAGGACCCTCTCATCCAACCAAAAGTATCCTGTTGCATGGCTCTGACAAATGGATTGCTGAGGTCGCCGTGGTGTTGTTGAGCCCGTGTTGCGTGGGGCATTGAGAAATGTGTGAAAGTCCCAATCCTTCAAAAACTGTTGATTGAATGCACGTTTTTGATCATCCAGAAAGGAAGTTTTAAAAACCTGTTTTAATATCCCCTCAACCGTTGCAAATGACGACAGAAACATCACCGTTGAACTTCAAACGCTTCAGCAGTAGTTGTCCCCACATCCCGCGTCCAGTCGCCGATCGGACCCGCTAACGCAGGCCAAGCAGAAAATCATCTGCAGGCGTGCCTGCAGGGGATTTGCTGGGTCTGCCTGGTGCCTGCTGTCGTGATTTCTGCCCCGCCATTCGATCACGTTAATTAATCCAATATAAAACAACCCCGCATCGCTCCTTCAGCACCCCAAGCCAGACCACTCCTGCATCCAACACTCTCCAACAATCCCACTCTAACAACAACAACCTACCAACGAATATTCATAACCCCCCACAATGGCCGATCCAACCTCCCTAGAAACCCTCCCTGAACTGGCAGACCTAGCCCTCCAAACCAAATACGTCCTCCTAGACTTCACAGCCGAGTGGTGTCCCCCCTGCAAAGCCATCGCGCCCCTCTTCAAGAAGCTCTCAAACACCTACTCCGTGCCCGGACAGCTCGCCTTCGCCAAGGTGGACGTGGACGCGGGCCAGGAGGTAGCCAAAGCGTACCACGTCTCCGCGATGCCCAGTTTTATTATCCTCGTCGACGGGGAACCTTCGGGGATTGATGTTCAGGGTAGAAAGCTGGGCGGCGGCACGGTTTACGGTGGCGAGGGCGGGGATAAGCTTGTCATGATTAGGGGGGCGGATCCTAGGAATTTGACGCTCGTGGCGGCTGAGTTGGGCGAGATTGCGAAAAAGGCTGCCGCTGAGGGTGGTGCGGGCTCGAGTGCGGCAGCAGAGGAGAAGAAGGAAGAGGAGTAAAAGAATGAGGTGAGTTCAGAACATGAAAGATGAGAAACAGGAAACGATGGATGTTAACGTTCTGAAAGACCGCCTAGGTAGCACTTTGACGAGCCCACGATAGAGAAGATGCCGATGCGGCGAGACACACTTTAAAAAACATGAAATGATGACAGAGCAAAAAAGATCTGGTGGAAGATACCTCAGAATACAATACCCTTTCAAAGTTCAACTGTCCCATTTTGTGCCCAACATGCATACGCCACGAGGCACTTGAGTGTAAAAGAAGAGCCCTTTTTGGACTTCTATTGTTATATCACCGCAACAGAATGGTATCAGCACGACCGTCCCCAGCAAACTCCCACATGTACCCAGGCTCGCTAATTCAATGAAAAAAACCAACCACTGGCAGAAAACAAAACCCCCCAAAACACCTAGGCAGCCAAAAACAAACACGTTATGCAAAGCAGTTTTGACCCCATAAACATAACCAACTTTTGCCCACCTCACCCACCAATCGCCTTCCCGCACCTCCCGCAACTCAACACCTGCTTCCCATCGACCTTCTTAGCCTTGAACTCCTTCCCTCCACACCCCGCACACTTCATCACACCATCTCCTTCTTCCTCACCGCCCACCTCGGGATTAGCCTGGCTCGTCCCCCTACTCCACAAATGTCTATAAGGTGATCCGTCCCTCCTAGCCTGCACAGGGTTCAACGGGGTACTTGGAACGATATGTTCATGCCCGTGATCGTGTTCCACAACAGCATTGGTAGGTATCGACCTAATATCCGAGTCGCTTCCCATCCCTCTGATTGACAAGGCGGGCGCCAATCCGGCAGGCGGGGGCATGGATTTGTGTCTGTCTGCTTTGTCGTTTGTAGGCGCGCTCAGGTTGTTGCCATCGCTGCTGATGGTGGTAAACACGCCCAAAGCGAGACTTCTCCGCCTGGTACCCTCGAACGCGTCGTTCTCGTTTTGGTCGGGTGCGGCTTTCTCGTCTGCCGGGGCCGTGGTACCGTTTTGTTTGGCCAACGAACTGTGGCTACCATTACTTCCAGGTCCGGCAACCTTTCCAGCTTGGTTTGATGGCGAACTGGGTTTGTTGAACGCTGTAATCCCTCGCCAACGGTTCAGGTTCCAAAACGAGGAGGTGGTACTGCCTCCTCCCCCACCTCCCACGGTAGCGTCTATCGGTTCCTCATTTTCGCTCGCAGATCGGAATGTGAAGCTCGGCGTAGGCGGAACGGAGATCTCATCGTCAGCTCTTGACTTGCGTCTCTCCCTTCCGGCTTTGAGCAGCCGGGAAGGCATCCTGTCCGGCGTGTTACTAAACACACTGGCCGTCGGACTGGTCAAAGCACTGCCTGCTCGATGCCGAGTAGCCGTTGAGTTGGCATACGGCTGCTTCCTAGCTTCACTCGCCAAGTTGACCGTGGAACTCAAGGGGGTCCTGTTGGTTTTGGATGGACTAACGGACCGCTCGCTCGATGCTGTCACCGACCCATTTCCCAGCATACTCGACCGTTTATCCGCGCCATGCTCAATCCCTTGACGCCAGCTCAGAATGCGATCCGAGTTGCCACCTAGCTGAGGAGAGCCAACAGCTCCGACCATACTGACCGATCCTCTCCTGCTGTGGGCTGCGCTGCCGCCGCTTGTTCTAGTGAGAACACTTCCGCTGCGTCGCAGACCGGTACCGACAAACCCATTGTTGCCTGGGCCGAGTTTTCGACTAAACGTGCTGCCTGTTTCCCAACTCTCGTGTCTCCGCTTCGCAAACGCGCAGTCCTGGCGGAAAACCTTGATAATACCTGAATCACCTGTCGTGATGATGATATTGCCATCATAATGCGTAGATCTAGCGATATATGCTGGACTCGGTTCGGGTTTCTTCGCCATAGGCTCCAACACCGGTGGGACATGAGACTCATGGGTGCTCAGGGCAACCTGACTAACAGCAGCGCTGGCAACCTCTTCCAAACTCTGAAGCACAACAGGTGGCGGGTTGCACAGATCGTAGATCGGATCTCCGCTCTGACCCAGCAGCATCCTCGTCCTGGTCGGGGCAAACAATGCCGTAGTGACAATCTCCCCGTGAGCCTCAAAGTATTCACAAGGCGATTTGTCCTTGTCAGGTGAGGTGGCATCATTGTTGGTGAGATTCCAAACGAAGGCCTTCCTGTCTTCACTGCCACAAATGACGTATTTCCCATCATCAGAAAACGACGCCGCAATTTGACTGCACGAGTTTTCGTGTCCCTTGAGCTTGATGTCGAGCGAGTTGTCGCGTATGCTGTATATCCTGATACGAGAGTCATTGGAAGTGACAAGGACGCGAACTTCCCCTGGGTTGTCCAAATCCGAGAAATGTGAGGCAGTGCTCGAGAGCGGCACCTGGGTGGGCGCATTGGACGAAGTTTGTGGAGGAAGGATCATGGTTTGGATGCCGGTGATCTTGCTTCCCTTGGCATTTTTCCCTCGAGACGATCTGACATGAATCTGGGTTTGTTGCTTCAAGCCCTCGGTCTCGAAGAACACGCACAGACCATTTGACAGTCCGGCGATGGACATCTTCCCATCCGGAGAGAAAGCGACAGCCGTGACCAGGTCTGGCAGCTGAGCAGAGTACGCGACAGCCTTGTCAGGGATGCTCCATAACCTCAACATGCTGTCTAGTGAACCGGCCAAGAAGAACCGGTCGTCTCGTGGGTGAAACGCAAGTCGCGTAACAAAGTCTTTATGCTTGAAGGTACATAGGCATTCCTTTCGGCTAAGGTGCCACAGCCTTACCGTCTTGTCCATGGAAGACGAAAGCAGGAAATTGTTCTTGCTCCAGCTCAGATCAAGAACCTCGCCCGCGTGCCCTTCCAGTTCCATTATAGGCTGTTCCCTGAATACAGGCGCACTAAGCCTTTCTCCAGTGCCACCATTGGCAGCCTCCTCTTCCTCGTGCGCCTTGCGCTCCTCGGGTGTCGATAATACCGCCCATATTCTGACGACGTGGTCTCGTCCTGCCGTGGCCAAGTATTTACCGTCCTTGCTGAACTCAGTAGCCCAAATGGCGCCTCCAGACCTGGCCATCTTGCGATCGGCGCCGCCAGCGACGCTCACGGTTACTACCGGCGCCCTGTTGGCCTCTGTTCCCGCTTGTGCGCCATCGTCTGGGGGTCGCGTTCCAACCAATTCCTGCGCCAGGAACATGCGGTTGAACTCCCGCTCCTTCTTGTTGGTGGCCTTCGTTCGTATGTATCGAGGTGGTTCCTTGTGATGTGGGACAAAGCCACCCCCCACAAGTGGGTTGTGCAGGGATTGGCTGAATACTCGCGCATTGATACCATCCATGCGTGTCTCGATGCCGAATTCCGAGACAGAATCTAAATCTCCAAGCTCCTTCTTGCGGCCGCCACGCATACTCAGCCGGCTGAGAAATGAGCCTGCCTTCTTCTTGTCTTTGCTCGCGTCGCCCGCCGGCGCCGTCGCTCTCGCCAGGAAGTCCGAACTTGTGCGTGCTATTCCTTCCGCCATCTGCATAGACCGTCGTGGAATCGATATCGATTGTTCGGTGTTTCGCCGCATATAAATTTGCTGTAGCAGA